GGACTACTTAAATAAAGTCATACATTTAAAACAGCCATTCAAATGATAATGTATAATGTATAATTATGTGGATGAAGGTTTGTAATATTTTGTAGAAAAAGTAGTTTACGAAACATGCATATTATGATGCTATTTGAAAGCTATATACACATATGTCTACTTAATTTTTAGAAATCTACTTTAGTAGATATATATATATATATATAGTTATGTGTATATGTTATACTATCTTTAACTATATACATATGTATGTGGAGGACATTTGTCAAAATGTTAAGGGTAACTATCTGAAAAGTAAGTCTTCCAGGGAGATTTTGTTCTTTCCTTTTGTATGTTTTCGTTTCCTATGCTAGCCATGCTTTACTCTGATAATAAGTAAAGCAGTTATTAAATGGAAAATCCAAGAGATTTAACTGGTTACTTAACAGATATAAGAGAATTCACAAGGATTACCGCACAAACTAGTTTTCTCATATAATAGTAAACAGGTTAAAAATATAAAATGAGAAATTATTCCATTCACTATGGCAAAACAAAACAAAACAATGTGTAAATCATCCACAAAACTGAAAATGCAACGACTAATTCATGCAAGAAACATCCAAGTCCTATTTAGAAGCAAATAATGAAATACATGAAAGAAAATCTAAATAAATTATGGTGTTTCTGTTTGGAATGACTAAATACTGTGAAGATTTAAACTCTTTCCCAAATTAGTTCATACATTTGATACAATTCCAATAAAAGTTCTGATTAAAATAACTGGCAAGTTGATTCAAAATATTATCTAGGAGAATAGATGCATGAGAACAGTTTTCCTAGACGAAGAAAGATGAAAGCAGCCTTGCCCTATTGGATTTTAAAAGATATTACAAAGTCAGAGTCATTAAGCAGTATGTGAATTTTGTGGGAATATCAAATATATTAGTTAACAAAATAGAATGCAGAATAGAATAAATAGAAAAAAATAGAATCTAGCGCATGATAAAGGTTGTATTTCCTATTAATGGAAAAGGGCTAGATTGTTCTGCAAATGATGTTGGAATAATTGGTTATTTATTCATTCAGAGAAAAATCAAGTGGATCTTCGTGTTACATCTACAGAAAAAAACCCAGATGTATTAAAAATGTAAACATTTTTTAAAATTATAAAAGTTATTTAAAAGACTAAAAAACAATGATTCCATAATCTTGAGAATGAGAAAGACTTTCCTGAAGAGAGATAAGCCTCAGACTCCATAAAGGATAAGACTAAAAATTTGCCTGCATAAATATTTAAATCTTTGGTATGAGAAACATACTACAAGCAAAGGACAAACTAGGAAAAAAATGCAACTTGTATGACAAACAATGGATTAAGAGCTTTACTATATAAAGTGCTGTTTTCAGATAAGAGAAAGATTATCATTCCAATAGAAAAATTGGAAAGATAGAAGCAAAGCTTTTTATAGAAAAAGAAATATGAACATACAAAAAATACTCAACCTCAATAATAATCAAACAATTTAAAATTAGAGCAACAAAGTATTATTTTTACTCACCACTGTCAAAGTTTTAAAAGGGAATTATCATATTCAATGTATTAAGGGTGTAGAGAAATACTTTGAGGCAGTAATTTCATCCCAGGGAAATTACGCTGTGTAAAGATTCAGAAAAGGGTTCCAAACGTCTGGAATTCTATGCAGTTGAACAAATGAGGCAGACCTGTGCACTACTGGAGGGAAAGTCTGAGGTATAGCAGCACATGAAGAGAGCTGGCAGGAAAACAGTATAGCCTTGTGATCCCAACTTCTGCTTAAGAAGCTTACAAAGCTATTTGTATATTTAAAAGAATTTTTATAGCAGATAGTCTATGGCAGTAGGATTAGGGGGTGATATGGTTTGGCTGTGTCCCCCCCCAAATCTCATCTTGAATTGTAGTTCCCATAATCCCCATGTGTTGTAGAGAGACCTGGTGGGAGGTACCCAGTGGGAGGTAACTGAATCATGGGGGCAGTTACCCCATACTGCTGTTCTTGTATTAGTGAGTGAATTCTCACGAGATCTGATGGTTTTATGAGTCTTTTCCCTCTTTGCTAGGCACTTCTCTCTCCTGCTGCCATGTGAAGAAAGATGTGTTTGCTTCTCCTTCCGTCATGATTATAAGTTTCCTGAGGTCTCCCCAGCCATGTGGAACTGTAAGTCAATTCAACCTCTTTCCTTTATAAATTATGCAGTCTTGAGCAGTTATTTAGAGCAGTATGAGAACAGGCTAATGTTGGGGGTAAGTATCTTCATTTGGACTTTCTCTTCTTTCATATTTATGATTTTTTATAATCACATATCACTTTTGTAATAAAAAGCAATACGCATCTGACAAATCTGCCTGGAGAGGTGAGGTGACTTGCCTAAGATCAATAGCACATGAGGACCAGAAGCTGCTGGATCTGCTGATACCCAGGCTTTTAGCACCCCCAAAGAGTTCATTCTTATTGAGGAACCCATGGCACCACAGCATAGCCTCTCTCTCAAAGGAGCCAACAAATGCCCTCAAAATGCCACTTGCAGTCTCCTGTCAGGCTGCAGATCACCCCATCCCCTGGGTACTCTTGGATGGGAGGAGTTCACATATGAGACATTGGGTTGATGAGTTTCAGGGCAGGGCCTGTGCCCCCAGTAGTGGTGGGGCTGCTCAGCCCATGCCAGAGCCAGATTGCCCACTTGCCTCGTAAGGGACTCTGGATGGACCCCTTTAGCCCACAAGTGGTGAGCAGGCCAGGGATTCCTTCCCCAACCCCATGACCGCTCTTGCATCCACTATACTGGAAACCTCACACAACCAACCTGGCAAAGCAGGATGGGTCAGTTAGGAAGCAGGAAGATGCATCACTTCAAAATGCAACATTACCTTATATCTTAAAGTGCTTTATAATTTACTTTTCTACCCATCTCCTTGTTTGATCTTCAGAATCATCATCTGAAAGAAGAACAAGTATAACTGTTATCATTCCTATTTTATGGAAGAAGCAACTGAGGCTCAACAGACAGAGCTGTTGACCTGGTCACATGGTAAAGAAGTGCGGAGAGAGAAGGAGAGGTTGGGTCAGCTTGACACACATTCTCCATTTTTGCCACCCTGCCTCTTCTCTTGGGTAAACCCCTACCCACCCTCAGCCCATGGAAACTTGTTCCCCTTAATCCAGCTTGGCCTTGACCAAGGGCACTATGGCCCTTCCTGCCATAGTACGGTTTGACCTCTGATCCCAGCCCCTGACTCAGTGTCTACTGCACCTGGGCCTCCCCAGCAGCCTTCTGCTCCTTGGGGGTAAGAATGGTTGGGCCAATTCTCTGGCACCCCTAGAGAAAGGCACAGATTTGAGGGTTCTCTGAGGATACTGTCCTCTCCAGGAGAGCTTCTAACCACTCACGCCCTGCTGTAAGCCCTGCATTCCATTGATTCACACCTGTAGTCCCACAGTCTAGCAAAGCACCTGGCATACAGCAGGTGAGCAATAAAAGTTTCCTGAATGAGTGGAGTGGCCAGAGGACCCCGAGTCCCATCACCAGTCCACCTAGAACTCCCATGACCTCAGGCTATCCCTGTCTCCACTCTCAGACTCTTTATTCCCTCCTGTAAGTGGGCATGAGTTAGTCTCTAAGGACCATAATCCACCCAGCAGAGGTAGAGGCTCTATCAGCTTTATGTTTAGAATAAAAAGGCTGGAGGGACAGAGAGTACAGGGAAGTGAGGAGGGACCCCCACATATCTATTCTGAGTCAAGTTCTGAGAAACTGCCTGAGTTTCTAGCAGACCCACTAGCTTCGGCATCTCCAAGAATTTGATGCCACCATGAGCAGCTCCTTAAAGCCAGAGGCTGTGCTTCCTTGCTTCTCTGTCCACAGCACACAAACAGGTGCATGTAAATGAATGCATGGTGGAAGGCTCCTGTAACAACTTGCCATAACAGAAATCAAAAGTTTAGGACAGAAAATGATGTTATAGGCCACGTGGTTCAACTCCTCTCCCACTGGAGACCCAGAAACAGCAAAGACTTGCCCAAGGTCACAGAGAGAGCCAATGGAAGAGATTTGGGTGGGATACATGAGCTGGTTTTCCTCTTTCTTTCTTTCTTTCTTTCTTTCTTTCTTTCTTTCTTTCTTTCTTTCTTTCTTTCTTTCTTCTTTCTTTCTCTTTCTTTCTTTCTTTCCTTCTTTCTTTCTTTCTTTCCTTCTTTTCTTTTCTTTCTTTCTTCTTTCACATTCTTGGAGTATATATTAGCTGATTTTCAGCGATCAGTCAAAGCTCAGGCCAGCTTGCTTGACTTGGTTCAGGAACCAGGGGAATCCTGTTGGGAGCTGCTCCTCACACACTAGAACCCCCACAATGGCACCGCCCAAAGCTCAATTACTGCTGGGAGAGGTCTGATGCTCTCATAATGAAGTAATATCTATCGCAAAGATCCTTGAGGCTACTTAACCGTGAAATAATTACATGTGCCTCAGAACTGGGAGATCAAGGATTTCCATCCAAAATCCCATGATGCTCTTAAAAAAGGTTTCACTATAAACTGCAGGAGGGGTGGGGAAAGGCGAGATTTCCAAGCCAGGTTGCCATGATTTAATTCCACCTTTTATGTTTTGGCATCATCCCATCTATGTATATATCTCATTCCATACACATATTAAAACAATATTACAGGAGATTAAAAGAGTAACAATTGTCATCCATAATCATATTGCTATAACTAAATTATACCCACAAGCATGTATCTGTCTCCCTGTTTAATTACACAAGCAATATGTGAATATATTCTCATTGTCAGAAATCAAGAAGTATACATTGCAGTCAGAATAAGTACCGGGTCCACAGCATTTCCTGCAATTTCTCCTCTCTTCTCCTGAAGCAATGCAGTTGTCATGTTGGTGTGTATTTTTCCAGAACTTTTCTCTGAATTTATATCTAAGTATGCACATGTAACTATATATTAGTATGTGAATACACACAGGCGCGCACACACACAAACACAAACAAGTAGTATTTATTTTAAGCATTAATGGGATCATATCATGTATTGTCCTGGAGTTTGCTTTTTTTCCTTCTTGATAGGTCTTGGAGGTCTTTCCATGACATTACAGAGAGAGAGCTTCCATCTTTGCAGTAGCTACACTACACAGTTTTCCATAGTATGAAAACGTACTTTAAAAAAAAAAAAACAGTCCCCATTAAAGAACATTTAGGCTGTTTCCAGTTTTTCAATATTTCAAACAGTGAATATATATATATACACACTATGTGTCTATGTAACTATATATAACTTTATCTATATAACCATGTATATATATAGAGAGAGACAGAGTTCAGCCTTAAGCACTCTCCCTCTCTCACATGGCTGATCAATATTTTGTTCATGTCTGCAGACTGTCCTGCTGGGGAAATGTCATCTCTCCAGGTTAAAGATTTTGTCTGCTTTTCCCCCTGCTATATCCCAATGCCCAGAATAGTGCCTGGCTTAGCACACAAGAAATATTTGTTGAATGAAGACCAGCAAGGGGAGAACATAGCCACAAACTATTTTAGCAAATAATGCTTGTCTTATGCCCGCATTTTCCAAAGGCACTTTGACTCTCTAAACACATTCTATCTGCAGAACAACTGTGGGGGCTCAGTAGATCTGGCATTGTTAATACCCTGTGCTGAATCATGGCCTGAAGTCAGGGCTTAGGAATCAGACAGATAAAGGTTCAAATCCTAGCTCTGTCACTTTCTCTGTGTGTCTCTGGAGAATTTACTTAACCTCTGTGTGCCCCAGTTTTAAAATCTGTAAAAAAATGGATATACATACCTTCCCTTGAAGGGTTTAATGATAATTAAATGTGATACTATATGTGAAGTACCTGAAATACAGTAAGTGCTTAGTAAATGCTTATTCTCTTTTGTCCCTTGCTCTACCTGTTCAGGTCAATCACCCATGGCCCTCCTTATCATGTCTTACTGTCTATCAATTACTGAAATACCTTACAGTTTTTCCTAAAGAATCTCCTGGTATACCAGTTTTCCTCCACCCACAGGACTTTCTTGGGAAAGAAACAAAAGATACATTTTCTTGTCTGTATTACTTAAATATAACATCAGCAGCTTTTTCCTGAGCATTTTATGTTTGGGCACTTATCACGTTCAATAATATTTAGCTGTCTAGTTCCCCAACTGGTTCTTAAAGGCAAGGACCATGACAGACTCAATTTTTTAACCCTGTTAATTACAGGTCAATTGCAAATTTCCTTATAAATGGTAAATGCCCAATACTGATGGAATGAATAAATGATCCAAAAATACTATAAATATCTGATTTTAAGTGGTCCCATACGTTCATGCTTCTGGGAACACAGGGGCTCCTAACCCACTCTGCTCTCATGGTAGCACCCAGGCTGTCCTGAGTCAGCTTTATCATCCAGCAGCTGATGTGGGGGAACTAGCCTTTTATTTCTTCTCCAGTGTTGCTTTTACCTTCCTCCATACTCAGTCAAATCTCCATCTGGCAATCCTTCTGCTGGGTTTACATACCTTTTAAATGTTCTCTTCTTTTCCCCTTGGAATTGCAAGTTTTGCCCACCTCTACTCCCTTCAGATAATTTGAAAGTCAAAAAACAATCAACCCACCCCAATAGTGCTTGAGAAGTTAAACTGTAATGGTCTCATTGTAAAAGAGACATTTGGAAATAGCGTCAGATCCAGGGCCTTCTAATGGTAAGATCCACGAATCCTTAAAAAGGTCTTCATTGAATTTCTTACCCCATCAACCCGCCCTGCTTTAAAATTCCTTTCCCCTTGCCAGCCAACATTCACTTCTATTTTTCTGTTTTGTTTAACTAGGATGACCTCCATCACAACACCTATAGGATTTTATTATACTTACGTATTTACAAGGTTAGTCTTTCACGGCTACGGAGTGAGCTTCTCGAAGGAGGATATCATAGGATTTTTCACTTTTCAATCTCAAATGCCAATACAGTATCTGGCAGATAGATATATTTTTGGGAAAAAAAGAATATTATTTTCCTTTCATTTTTTTAATGACACACAACCACTAACACTAGATACACTTAGGAAACACAGGTTTTCCTAAAGAATCTCCTGGATATATTAGTTTTCCTCCACCCAACCAGCTTAAAATTCTGTATTTTTTATGAGTATACATTGAATAGATTTTTTCGGGTGGCATCTTGACTACCATTTATAACATTGCTTCTGAGAGCCCACATTCTGAATCCCAGACAGTGGCTGAGAAAGAAACTTTTGGAATCTGTTTGAAAGCTGAGGACTTCTATACCTTCCTTTCTGACTTAAGCATGGATATTCCAAGAGACCCCCACACCTACCAGGAAATGCAGTGCCTCACTGTGAACATGGCAGAGTGACAATATTAAAAAAAAGAGGGAGGCTGGCAAGGGGTGAGACGCAGCAGGACCTTAAGATTGCATTACCCATGTAAGGACCCAGTCCTCTCAGATGTACCTGCAGCCTACCTAGGAGGGTCCCTGAGAGGCTGGAATGGAGGGGAGCCAAGCCTGGTCTTCCTCTCTGTAAAGCTGTGTAGCTGGTGTCAGCTCAGCATCTCCTGCTTTTTAGGTCAGTCTTTTGCTACTTCATCTCTCTTGGTTTTTTTTTTTTTTAATGTAATATTTGTCCAAGATTCTTTCTTTTTCTTTATTAAGGTATAAACATTTACATTAAAATACTTTAAAATCTTAGGTTTGATGACATTTTGCAGTTGTATGTATCCATGTTACTATCACCCAAATCAAGATATAGAACATTCCTAGCAGCCCAGCCCCAGTCACCCACTCCAGAGGCAAACACCATTCTGAGTTCCATATCCATAGATTCGTTTTGCCTGTTACTTCACATAAGCAGACTCACATAGCCTGTTCCTTCCCTTTCTTTTATTCACTAAAGCAACAATAACAATGCTGTAGACATATCTAACAATATCAGATGTTAGACAAATATCATAATAACAATGTATAGGCATAACCTTATTCCTTTTTTCTTTTTTTTTTTGAGATGCAGTCTCACTCTGTCACCCAGGCTGGAGTGCAGTGGTGTGATCTTGGCTCACTACAACCTCCACCTCCTGGGTTCAAGCTATTCTCCTGCCTCAGACTCCCGAGTAACTGGGATTACAGGTAAGTGCCACCACACCCAGCTAATTTTTTATATTTCTAGTAGAAATGGGGTTTCGCTATGTTGGCCTCCTAACGTGCTGGGATTACAGGTGTGAGCCACCGCACCCAGCCCTAATTCCTTCTCTTTTTCAGTTAACATCTCAAAATGTTTGGCAGTGGTGATCCCCATGTAGGGGTAATTTGCATGACTGTTATTGATGTCTTTACACATTCTGGTATAATGTAAAAAATAATATATACATATATAATTTCTAATAATGAGAAAAAAGCTTCTTCACGAGGTAGGAGAGCATGGCTTTTGTGAAGAATTAAACAAGGGGTAATTTGCATGGTTGTTATTTACTTCTTTACACATTCTGGCACAATGTTAAAATATATATATATAATTTTATAATAATGAGGAAAAAAAGCTTTTCATGGGGTAGGAGAGCATGGCTTTTGTGGAGAAGTAAATAAGTGAGATTCCGAATGAGCCTGGTGCGGGAGCTTTGGTTGTGTGAGGTCTGAGAACATCCTTCCCTGGCAGGCTTTTCCTGGTGGCAGGGGACTTCTTACAGTACCTCAAGTCAGAGACCCCTCTAACCACTTCCTGTCTGCTTTCTTGTTTATCTCTTTGAGCATGGAAACATTTGACCAAATAATTCCTTCTACCTCAAATTCTTTCCCTTTGATTTTAGCAAAGAGAAAACATTGTCTAAAGCAACGGTTAGCTATACTTTGAAAGTCATGAAACACACACATACACACATACAGACAGATGATTGAAAACCCTTGATCACACATTTGAGTGATACAAGTAAGGCAAATGGTAATAGAGCAAAATATACAGTTATCAATTAAACCTATACACCATGAGTATAGGTCTCTGAGTGTCATCTGACCCCAGATAAGGGGCAACTCCTTGTTCTGTTTCCTTGATGGCACTGCAATACAGATGGGTGCCCACACGGAAAAGGTATAAGAGAGGCATAAATGCAGAGAAAAGTTGGATCCTGAAGTAATACTTGCAGGAATACTTAAAACATGAAAAAGAGAAAATTTAGCAATTTCACAACAGAATGCAAGGTCTAACTTCATTGGTTAAATGGTCCCATATGTGGTAATCTACAAAGCAGGGAGACTTGGAATGGGACAGCCTGGGCGGTGCCAGGGCTCTGTGCAGAATGGATGGGCAGTGAGCAAGTTGTGCAACCTCATTGAGTCCACTCCTGCCTCTTTAAGTGGGGCAATAATGACAGTGTCCACCTCACAGGGCTGGTGGGAGAGGTGGTTGAAATGAGGTGTGGTCAGGCTATCTGTAAACCATACAGGCTATACATGTGCCAATAGTCTACTGTCTCTTCCAGAGTTGGAATAAGTGCTCTGAAGGGGATGTGGGATCCAGACCCTTTATCGTATTGCCATTGACTTTTTGGAGAACTAAAGAGCAAAGTATTGTCTCTTTCCTCACCCTGTGGCTTCCTCTTTGGGGAAAGAGGACACTTTGATAGGAAATCAGAAGTAGGGAAGGGGGGAGAAAGAAAAACTGTTAGAGTCAGAAAGACCTGAGTTGGAATCCTGACTCCCTCATTTACCAGCTGTGTATGTGACCTTGGATGAACCTCTTGACGTCTTAGAGCCTCCGTTTTCTCATATGGAAAACGGGAGTAGACTTCAGTGGATTTCTGGGAGGACTGGATGAAGTAAATCCTTGTCATGGAAGCTCAGTACAGTACATGGGACAGATGCCATCAGTGATAGAAATGAATTATCTCTCGTGAGAGATGCCCTGGCAGCAGATGATAAATGAAATATAGCCTATCTTGCTTTCAGCACACCAGGGCAGCTGCCCTTGGAACCAGGATCATAGGGGCTCAGAGAAAAGAGAAGAAATAGGGAACGCTGGTGCTAACATGGAAAAAAGTTTTCCACCACACTGGGCAGGGATGAGATGGATCACCTGGATACAGAAAAGGCTGCAGACCGGCCAGATATGCCCAAGCCCATCTGGGAAGACCAGCATTCACACGGTTGGCACTGCAATCCGCCCCTCATCTGGAAGGCCTGGCATTCTGTACGTGTTCAGACGCCTCCCAGTGAGGCCAGGCCCAGAGACTGCAGCCACTGGGGTAAGGGGAGTGGGCTGTTTCATTTTTAGCAACAAGAAGACATTCTTCTCCCTCCTCTGATCTCAGCCTCCTCTACCCACTTCCCAGCTCATCCCAGCAGGTGCCTGGGAGCCCCTTCAGGGACAGAGCAGGGAAGTATAGCCTCTACTTCTCCACACCCACAACCACCTTTCCCAAGGCTGGGAACTGGACCAGATCCCAAGTGGGCTCTGGGTCTCAATGAACTCCAGGTTTTGCCAGAAATGGGGAGTCTAAGCTGCTTGTTCAGGTTTTATCCAAGTTTCTTTTTTTTGTTCTTTAAGATTTTCACAGGTTACTATTTGGGGGTTTTTGCTTTTGGGAAATAAACAGCCCAGCATCCTAACAGTCTCCTCTCCCTCCTGCTCTTTCGCTGAGCCTACCCTCCCCACCTCCCCACTCCCCCACATCCCCACTCCCCTACCTCCCCACCCCAATTTCTCTTCCCAATTCCCCGGCCTCTGAATTAGCAGCCCCCTGTTTATCAGGCTGTAAACTTAGGACGTTTCTCATTTCTGATCTTTTCGTTGGCTACACCCGACTTCGTCTTTTTTTCCCCCCTCCCTTTTTCCCCCTCCCTAAACTAAATCACTTGCCCGGTTCTTGCCTTTTAACGGAGCGATAACGTGAGGACATCTGAAATTTCGACTTTATTTTCCTCCAGCACACCTGGCCCCTGCCCTCCAAGGGGAACTCCCGACTGCTTGCTTATTTTAGCTCTCCATTGGTATTAAAAGCAGACTGTAGTTGGGACCATCTGATCTGCAAACGATGCAAGCCCGGGGCAGTTTTTCCTACTCCGGGGTTGGGGCGGGCGGCCGCGAGCTAGAGTAGAGGACCTGCGGGAGCCCGCGCGGCGCCTCCCCTCTGCCAGGCCCGCCCACGTCGGGCACCTAGGCTGGAGCCCCGCAGTTTGTCGTCTGCAGCCCGGAACCGGAGGTGAAAGGCCTCCACGGAGCTCCCAGACGCTTCAGCCGAGCATATGCTGCACTCCTCACATTCATTTTTAATTCATGACATCAGTTTAGGGATCACTAGAGCCTCTAAACGGTCTCTCTCAAAACCAAAACAACCACCTTAACACAAGGGAGGAGAGAAGACGGCCGCGGAGTCCAGCAGCGTCTCCTTTGTCCCCCGGGAGTGGACATTTGGAAAACCACTTTCTAGTGGGGACCTGCTGTCCCTCACGGCAGCTACCTTTTCCCCAACCTTTTCGCGGTATTGCTCTAAAGACAAAGCTGGTCTCAAAGTGGTTTCGGTTAGGACTTTATAAAAGTTACATTAAAATGATCGAATGTGTACTTGCAGGGAGATTAAAGACTCTTCCAAAAACATTTACGCGCGCGCGCGCACGCATCCAGATTGTATACTACATGCATAATACAATGTATGATAAAATGTTAGATAAGTAATATAACAATACATAGGAACTCTATGTTAAATATATACTAATATATGATACGAAACCACATAATACATTTTATGTTAAACAGTATATAATACAAACAGACCATCTGTATTATAGATGGTAAGTAGGAGGCATCATGCCCTCTGAAATAGCCAAGGTGCGGAGCTGCTCCTTGTGGCGGAGCGAGCACCAGCTCAGTACAAGGCGCTGGAGAGGAAGGAGAAAAGCGCATCAGGGTCTCCCCATAGTGATGCAGCCACCCCAGCCCTCACCTATCCCAGTGCCCCACACGCCC